AACATAAGGTCCAGGTATCGACCCTGATGCTTGACCCATAGTGTCGGATTGCGCTGATGAATTCGGCGACGGGTCTGCACGACTGTTGGAGGTCGACGATCGCACCACCGAAGGCTCCTTCCGCTTCCATAAATCCGATATATCGACGTCGTATCGTCTCGCCAGATCCTCAAAGCAGCCGATAGCCACACGGTGCGCGCGCTCTGCCACGGGTCCCTTCATCATCTGCAGCCAGCGGATCGCCTTTCTTGTACAATGGATCATCATTTGAGGCTCACAAGACGTCGATGTTGGGTATGAGAGACCGAGAAGACAGACAGAGATGGCTTGCATCATGTGATGCACGAGACACCACCAGGGACACTGCTCATACATCTGAGGGTTGTATTCCTCCGGAAGAGAAGCGACGATTGTTCTGGCAGCTTCGATACAGCTGTCTGCCATGCGCCTCGAGAAATTTGCGTCGCCCGCATCCTTCCATGGCTGTCGCCGGGCAGTCAAGCACGGCCGTGTGAGCAAGATCCGCGCGGTGCAAAGCTGGAACCGGAGAAGCATGCGTTCCCGGGCGAACACGTCATGCGGTTCACGCAATCCTTCATGCGATCTAAACTCTGGTGGTAATGAGGAATTCCACTGATCGAGACGCTGGCTCAGAAGATGGGTATCCTGTTGGATCTCACTTGGCGAGCGGATCATCGTACCCGCGGAATAAAGAGACGTGAGAATGTTTTGGGATATAATGGAGAGCTGAACGACAGCTCTGAAGTAAGAGCCTGAGTTAACATCTGTTGCCCGAGACCCTATCGCCATGTGAGGAGGGTTCGCGGCGATATTTGAAGAGGCGGAGAATGTGGGCGAGTCTGATAGTGGTGCGATCACCGTACGCATGCCATGTGTCGTCTCCGCTTCTCCTAGGGATTCCTCTCCTGGAACCGTCATAGGCAATGGCACCGAACAGCACGAGTCCACAATGATGCTGGGCCGGCCAGTAATGATACTGAGAATTCTTTCGAGTGAGTACAAACTCCACCAAGTTTGCACCAACGTCTCACGTTTTGATGCGTTTGCGGAGGGGTCCTCGTTCCGTACATGGAGACCGAGAGAGTAGGCTGATCGCAAAGCCACACCGACAAGCGTCCACGCCCTGGACTGGTTAGCAAGACGGCACTAACTCTCCCTCCGGATTGCGACTTACCGACTGACTTGTCCAACACTCAGCCAATAAAATGCAAGAAGGCCCAAGCCTTGGATTTGCGGTACATCGGAATGTGTGGTCAGGGAGGCTTCATTCAACCCAAAAGCCCTCGCTCTTGCGTGGAACAGATTTGCATCGCCCTCCGGCCAGTCCTTGTTATAGAGATACGAATAGTTGGCGCCGATAGCGAAAACAAGATTCAAGATCGCCTGCCACTTGGGGTTTAGACGTGGTGCCTTTCCCTCACGTAGCGCCGCAAAGTATACGCGAGTTTGTTTGACGAAGTTGCGCGGTAGAATCGGGAAAGAGTCGTGCACTCTGAGCATGTAGCATTGCACCAGATGCTCGGCGAACTCGGGTCGCGGCAGCTCATACGGATCCACGTAAAAGTTGACACTAACGTCATCGCAGTCGGCCCAGAAGCTGAATGAGCTTACTTGCTCGTTGCTGAGAACGTTCGAAGGACGGCGTTGGGACCTCGATCCGGACCATTCTCCGTCTGTTCTTTCTTGTTGAGCAAGAGCTACTGTACGCAACCACTGTACTTCCGAGCTCTTGCCAACGAATCCCGTTGACCGGGCTCCGTCGCTACTGTGCAAGTCCTCGTCCAGCAGGTCCAATGCCTCAGTGTCAAGATGCTCGAAATGCTCGAAACCGCTCGCCTCTCCGCTGCCTTGTGAACCATGACTGTCGACGTCTGGTTGTGAGGGGATTGGGGTCGGAGTACGCCTCTGTTCTGACAGGTCTTCATCCATCTAGCCCATGTCAGCGTCCGACTGTTCCGCTCTCGCGTGTTATGCATAAGATCTTCTAGGACCCAACTCACATCTTCCAGAATGTCGGCAATCCTTTCCCCATCTTCGGTGCTTACCCGGTCCCTTAACTGCGTTAGGAAGTCGGTTAATTGGTGGCATTGTTCGGTGACGCTGGGAATGTCAGCAATGCAAACATAATTTCCAGGGAGACTCGACAGACATTTTCAATCGATCTTTCCGGGGCAGAATGTAGACGCATTCGCGATTCGTGGTCGCACAATGCTTGCACCTTGGCTTCTCGCCCGTGCATTTGATCTTATGGGAGCGACACTAAAAATGCCGCTGTCAGAAGCCGTACCAAATACAAAAAACACTGGCCTATCGGAAAGCCCATCGGCTGAGACTCCTGGTTAAACCAGGAGTTGTGTAAAATCGAGCACCCGTCATCGGCACAAAAATCTCGTACGCGATTCAGACTTACACCAGTACAGGCCCGTGGGACTCGACGCCTGTCCTTCAGTCCACTTTGTCTTTGCTCGACTCTTTGCAGCCGTGGAATCGCAACTTTCTGTTGGCCGAACGAAGGGGAGCCATAGTTTCCTTGGTAATGATGCTCCGGGATGTTCGATGCCATGATCCAGGGCAGTGTACCATGGATCGACGTGGGATGTTGTTCGAAAGACCGAACGTAATTCCAAAACAGAAGAAGACGACGCGGCAACGGAGCGAGTAATGGGAGAACCCCAGACTACGGCGGTTACCCGAGATCACCTTCGACCGCATTGAGGCTTCAGGTGAGCGTCTACTGCCAATCCGGATATGGACATGCAGCCTTACCCACTTGATCTCAGATGTACCCTGAATTGTACGCATACACGGTTACAGCTGGATGTCTGTCGAGCTAAGGTTTGCGGTTCTTCGCAGCCTCTCGGAAATCCCGTCGGGATGCTTCACCGTGGCCAATAAGCGCATGGCTTCAATCCCCAGCCCTTGTCCTCCGATCCCAATCTTCAGAATTATTGTGGGTTGATGTCACTCTTTTCCTGTTATTGGTGTCGTATAAAACATCATCCAACGGTGATTTACTCAACTTCAACTTCACGAAAGATTTGCCACCCACATATTCCAGTCGCCAACCGGTTTCTCAACGACACGCTGTGCAGCCGCCTGTCGACCAGGATACCCATCCAGGACTTTGGCTTCCCAGGGCGTTATGGTCAGACCACTTCGCATGCGGCCACCAACTTCTACAGTACCGCTTTTGCCATAGACTAGGATTCTATGTGATTATGGGGAAGTCGATCGACATGCAGAACTTAATGCCAAATCTTACACGCGGACTATTCGCCATTGCGTATACGATTCAGGCGGAAAATACAATCCCGATATCTCTCATAGGACAAGAGTAGTAGCTGGACCACGTAATGCTTGCTCAGCAATTGTGGGAGCATGCAAATCATACTCTCGTGGGTCCTAGCTGCCAGTCTCCAACCCTGCAACACAACCAGACGTGTCAGTGGTGTTGCGGGGCAGCTGACTCGATCAACAGACTCGGATGGCACTACTATTCTTGCTTTGAGCCTGGAACGTACGCCAACTTGGAACTGAAGGACGAGTCGGCTCTGCGGCACAGTAATACCGGATAACGAGAAAGTATGTACTTGTCACTTACATATGCCGACCGTTGATCGTCAAGTTCAGGTCTGTCGCTCTTTACTCGAATTGACTAGTTACCCTAGCTAGCGCAACGAGCGTCAATCTAAAGAAGCACACCCTCTGCCCCGTTGTCAGGTCTGAGGAACTCGTAACGAGGAAACACCCGCGCATGCTAACACTAGGACGAATTTATCGACGTGGGGCTTTCGATCGCTGGGCCTTGTCGAGCATGGGTCTTGTACAGAATTGGTGTCGTGTCACCTGCGCGGCGAAACAAGAACGTTATTCAATTGACTCAAGACCTGCATCTTGAGTATGAAACCTTATGAAGTGGTAAGTTGATGCATGACGTTAGGCAGGCTACATTTCGGTGGCGTCCGCAGAACCGCCAACCAATAGTAAATTCGCCACGATCAGCCCTGCACGTGGGGTCCGTCTCTACGTGCGTACGCGCCCGCTGCAGGCACGTCGCAACGAGTAGAAAAGAATTCATGCTTTGATCTGGAAAATTTATCAAAGGATCGCATCAACGCGATAGTCTCGTACGCTGTGTCGCTATGTCAGCCTAAAAAATTTCCGACATGTCAATGTGTTTCAGGCTCCGCGGACAGGCATGGCACGTAGTTTTTAGTACTCCGCGCCGATCTAAACAGGCGCCCCCCAATCAGTAGACGCCCAATCTTACGACTTGTGCATATCGCTTAATTCTGTACGGTAAACTCGGTTTAACTCGGTCAGCAGATTCGCGCCGTCCCACAGAAGTACGATAAGACCTCAATCCTACATTGCAAGATCTTGTTCAGGATCTCGCTCTAGTCGGCCTCGATCAGATCCCGAGATGCAGACCTTGATGTTGCAGTCCCGTTGCGGCTAGCCTTTCGGCAACCGACTTTGTAAGGTTTCGGATGACAACATCTGCACGCTCACACTTGTCCGGACGCACATCCGCCGTTCCTCCCGCGCGGTAACTAACACATACATGTCTTTCTGAGACTTCCTCATGCGACCGTTTACGTCCAAGACCGTGTGCTTCCAATTTGACCACTGCGCAATATACGATCCGCTGCTTCCTACACGCAACCATCTCGCAGCCGCCGGATTTCGCAACTCTCAATCACTCTGCCGTCCAGAGCATGGAGGAAACGGAAGCCATAAGACAAGTCAAGAAATCAGCATACGAGCCTAGAGACGAGTCAAGATAAGCTGTGGACACCATAGTCCTCGGATGCTCCCCATTTCGAAGTAGCTGAAAGACAATCGAAGCCACCATCCCCGCATATTCCTCAACAGAGCACTTGCGACTCAGTATTTACCACCGTTTTTAGCCGTACCTGGCAACGTTTATGGGGCCAACTGCTCTCATTCGGTGGACTCATCGCATTCGCATCTGGTGCTTATGGAAGCGATAGCGAATCCTGGTTGAGATGCAGCCACTGCATTGTATTAGTCTGTATCCAGGCTGCCACCGACACTAGTACGCAGCTCTTCTACGCCCATCACGGTAGATGCAGAAAAGCAATGTCTCCGCAGCAGGATTCTCCATGCTACAGTCTTGACGAATACAGGAAGAATTCACTAAATCCGGCATCATGCATGGCGATTCACTTCCGCCAGTCACAGGACCTAGCATGATACGGTAGCAGCCGCGATCGCTACCCACGTGCAGAACCACCCGAAGTCTCAAGGACCCCACTGCACATTCTTCAGCTTAAGCCTCATCCCATTCCTCGGCTTACTAGCAATCGCACCACTTACGACAACCTTCTCTTTAGGATTTTCCATTTCCAACTCGAAGCTCCCTACAAACGCCGCAACAAGCGCCCTTAGCTCGGCTCTCGCAAATCTCTCTCCAATACAGCTCCTAGGCCCATGCAAAAACGTGAGAAAACTGTAGTTGCTGTCCGCCCCACCGTTCATCGTCGCGCGCCCCGTCTTGCTGTCGATCCAACGCTCGGGTACGCATTTTTCTGAGTCCGGGCCCCACAGCTGCGGATTGCGGTTTATTGCCCATGGAGCGATCCATACCATGGTGCCGCTGGGTATGATTTGGCCACAGACTACCGTGTCTCTGATGGCGACGCGCGCCGTGATGGGAACTGGAGGGAAGAGGCGCAGGACTTCGTTAAGGACGCAGTTGAGGTAGGGCATATTCTCCAAAAGGCTGGCGGAATTGAAGCTGGGGTCTGAGAGGACTTCCGGATCAGGGATACATTGCTGGATCTCGGAGCGAAGGCGCGTTTGAACGGCTGGGTGCCCGGCCAGTAGGTGAGACGTCCATATCAAGGCAGAAGACGTGCTTTCATGACTGTACCGGTCAGCTTTGTGCACGAGTGGACTTGAAGGGAAGGATACTAACCCTGCGGCTAACAAGGTGAGGAGTTGATCAACCAGGTTCTTATCCGACAGCTGGCTGTCGCGTATCATGATCGACAAGATGTCACGGCTCTCGGCATTATTGTGCTGCATCTTCGCCCTCCGCTCCGCTACAAACTCGGAACAGATCCTGCGCAAATTCCTCGTCGTAACCCTGGCCCGCTCATGCAGCTTCCAGGGTAGGATGCTGACCAGCCAATGCGGTAGGACAATGTTAGCCACATAGTACCACATCTTCTCCGCGGAGGGCTCCAGAATCTCCTCGTAGTTCTTGATCAACTCGTCATCGGCGTTCAACAAAGACCCGGTATCTCGACCCATACCAGCGAGACAGATGAGGTCCAACGTCACCCGCGATGTATACTGACAGATATCCAGTACGCTATCTGGTCGCCCACAAAGCTCCTGCCTAATCGCGCTGCAGAATTCCATTGACTTTGCGCAAAACACCGGATACAACTCTTTCACATTCCTGAAGTGAAACGCAGGAGCCAACCTCTTCCGCTGAAACCTGTGCTCCTCTCCTTCACTCAACAACAAGCCCTCCCCCAGGAATCTCATCAGAAACCTTCTTGCTCGGGACGGTTTCTCGAAATCATAGCTCTTGTGCACCAGTACATCTGCCAGTGCCGCCGGCGTAGTCAGGATAAGTCTAGTAGTATGGAGAAACCCTCGCCGGAGGATGATGCCGTCATTGGGCACTGTCTTCATGGTTTGCAGATGCCAGTCCCGGCCTGACTGACGCTTCTTCAATAGCAACCGGCCGTGGCCGAAGAGCGGGATGAAGCCTTTGGGTTGCGGCAGATTGCGCAGTGGACTAAGGAAGAAAGGATAGAAAATCATGTTGTAGAAGATGAGGACGGTGTTGTGGAGGATGGTAAACGCAAGCCAGTATGTAGTGAGAGAGGTACCTGGTAGACATCCCGCAAGCAGGTAATGCGCGATGACTGCTTCGAGAGCCGGTAAGAGAATACAGTTTGCGCCGTTGAAACTCATGGTTGGGATGAAAGTGGAAGAGAAAAGAAGGGAAGAAAGAAGACACACCAGAAAAGGCTTCGACAATATTAGATGTCTGATATCGCTGCTCCTTTTCAGCAATTTCTTTGTCTTCCACACCTGCAGTCATGTGGCGCATGAGATATTTTGAGCCACACACCACATTGTCCCCGATTGGTTCGTCTTCTCCAGCCGCCGTATATCATGCAGGTCTCTTAACCGCGTAGCAACATCTCTGTTATATAACTAAACATGGAATATATCCAAGCGAAGGCGTAACTATCGCTTTGGTATTTACAAGCCCGAGCGTCGGGCGTAATAGGCAGTATTCTGAAGTCGACATTGTCATCCGGGCTTATTGTTCCTGCAGGTGCATCACTCAGCCCAGCCATGAGATCAAAACATACCCACTACTGGAACGCGATTTCAGGAGGCTGAAAAGACAGCAGATTCCCTCTTGTCACGCATCCCACCACTACACCACACTCTCCCCTCCCCTCAAATCACCACCCCTCTCCATCAACGCAACCTTCTCCTCTTCACCCACCAACTTCTCCGCCAACCCTTCCTTCCCACCCTCAGGATCCAACCCAGCACACCTAAGCACGAACTCACCAATCCACTGCTCCGCCTCGAGCGAATTCCGCGTCAACGCATGGTCATCCCCCTCGAAAAGTTTCAGTTCCCTTTCACCCTCATCCCCATACATGTCGTACAGCCTCTCCGAGCACCGCGGACTCAACGTGCGATCCCCCGTCCCATGAAGAAGCAATACCGGTCGTGGCGCAAGAGACCGTATACCCTCCGTTTCTGCGGTCTGACTAGCAACCGTTGCGCACCCCACGACTCTCTCATCTAGCCCACCAATAGTAAAGACGGGTGCGCCGCCGAATGACCAGCCTACTAACACGAACTTCTCGATTTGATACGAGTCTTGTAGTTCCTTCATAGCGGCTAGCACATCTCTAACACAGTACTTGTTGCGCGCAGGATATCTGTAGTCCAATCGTAACGCAGGTACGGGCTGCTTTAACGAAGCCAGTTTATCGGCTAGGGAAAGGTATATAGATGATGGACCCACGACGCCGCCACCCGCGCCCGAAAGGAGAATGGCTGCTGTTCTGCTAGACGGCGTGGCGGATGTTGTAGGTGGTAAATGTAAGAAGCCTGGTACGGAGCCATCGGGTCCGTCTTCAACGGGTATGGAGAGGGGTTTAACGATGCATGATTTTTGGGCGAGAGGTGGGTGCGAGAGGCCTAGGTAGTCGTCGAGACGTGCTGGTCGTGAGGGTGTGGATGCGCGAGATGTGGCTAATAGTAAGGTGGCGGGAGGGGACATTGTGCGTGTTAAAGTGTCGATGTGGGCGAGGAAACGTTTCATGAGGGATAGAGTAGGGGGCATTAATATTATGAACAGAATTACCTTGCTACATAGCTGCAATGTAGTGTTCGCCACTTGCCATCTCTTGCCGCATGCTTAGTTAGACATGATGTCACTTCAGAACTACACCAATCAAGTGATACTGGGTTGCGAGACTGTAAATATCAACGGCTTCTTCGATTGTTCTGCTCCGAGGACGATTTGTCTGAAAGCTGCGTTGCTCCAACGAGGAAGGGGAGTATTGTAAGGGTACGGACTAGGCCCAAGTGCGCTAGCTGATTGGGCCTTCGCTCTGTTCCTGTGACAGAGAGGAGGCACAACATCATGACGCATGCGAAGACAACAGAATGAACGCGCACGGAAGGCTCTTGGAAAGAGAGGAAATCTTACTAAGGACTACGATTATCTCCTATGCTGTAGTACTAGCGGAGCATTGCTCGTCGACCAAATGGCCAACCTCCATCAAACGCCATGTCATGCTGAGCTTTGAGCTCTCTTACCCTAAACGCCGCTTACTTGCTGGATATATAATCCATTGAACGCCGACCTGGCCATATGACTCATGAAAACTGACCCGGGCGCCGAAGTCCTGACGGGTTGCGCCCCTGTACCCACGTTGGTGTTGAAACACCTTCATTTCATCGTCACCTTTCCGTGGTCTCTAAGACCAGGGCCTCGGTCCCCGATTCCAAATCATCCACACGACCCGCTCCAATTTCCTCACTGCCCGCTCTACTTCTTGACGGATGCTGTGCAAGAACGGGCGAATCTGCACTGTCTGAGAAGTTGCCAACGCTACTCTCGCGTACCCGTTGTGCTACGCTAGCTGCGATTTTCTCATCCAGCATGGTCACCAACCGTTCGGAATATTGGTCCAGTAATTTGACCATGACCGTCTCCTCAAAAGCTTTGGATTTTATCCTTTCCCCAATTGCCCTCGCGGTAGCCGCAAGCTCCCTCTCGACCTCTTTCGCTATCTCTGGGCTAATAGTATCACTAGTGTTTGCAAGACGTTTCCTGTAGGCTCGCAAGGTCCTGCATAAACTCTCGGTCGACGCTCCGATCTTGCTAGAGTCGCTGACAGGTGCTTTCGCGCGACTTCTGGCGTCCATGGAGGCGCGACGTTTGCCGAGTTGCGGGTTTTTAGGGCTAGGTGGCGATGGGGAGCGGTTCTTGTTCTTGCGTATTGTACCCCCGCCATTCCATGCTGTTATTCGGCCTTCGCGTGAACTTGTAGGCATAGGAGATGGATCAAGTTTCGGCGTTGGAGCCAAGGAGAATTTTGATACTTTTTTACGCAGCTTTGGTGACTTGCTCCCAGTGTTCGGAGGAGTCTCTTCCACGGGGGAGCGTTGAAAACGTGCTAATTCGGATTGTGAGAATACGCGTCGTAGAGGTGGCTTGTTGGATAGCAGATCCTGGTTGGAAGGCGTATTTGGGGCGAGCAAATCCATCGACTTTGATATGTCTTGACGATTGGGAGCCTGTAAAGCCAAAGCCCATGCAAATATAGTCCCGTCTACTGCTACTGTGACCAGTGACTTCTCGCCCAACTCTTCACTCACTTGCCCAGGTGTTTCCACAAGCGCGATGTCAGAGACACCTTCAGTATGGCCCCAGTCACGAGCAACCAAAGAGCCGCTTTCATCGTAAACGCGTATCGACTTATCGGTGCTCGACACACCAGCTATTAGTGGAGCGCCCCAATTACGTGGTATGTGGACTAGAGAAGATAGAACAACGGCATCCCCACCATCAGTGTCGCATGCACGGAAGTTGCTGAGACTTTGACCTGTTCGAATGTCGAATTTGTGGACCTGACGGTCGATGGTTGACACAAGCAAGACATCATCCTGATCAACGTCCCAGGCTGACGACACTGGGGTTGCCTTCAACATGATAGCGCGTGACATGACAAAAGCGCGGGTCGTTCCACGAGCCTCCTCGAGAGACAACAGTTCGCGAACGACGAGGCTTCGATCGCTGGAAGACGAGACTAGACGAGCGCCATTTCGTGAGAAGGAAACCCCGTTAACTGCTCCCACATGCTCGTCCAAGGTTTGCAGTAGATCCCAGGTCTGCTCTAATCGGGTGAACACTTGAACGGTGCGATCTCGACTGGCGGATGCGACAAAAGTGATATTCGGCTCTTCGTGTATGGCGATGCTAGTGATTTCACTGGCGTGAGCCTTGAACTCTAATGTGCAGGTTTTGGTGTTGCAATTGATGAACCGCAGAACGCCATACTTGTCTCCTGCGACGAGGAAAGCGCCATCGGCAGAGACACGAACTGTCCGTAGCTCGTTCGGAACGGCCTCGGGATCGTCCAGCTGCTCAAGCTGTACTTGAAGCGAACCTTTACAGGATCCTTGACTCCAGAAGATGACAGTCCCATCAGCTGCCCATGTGTAGTATGAAGCCTCGAAAACGTTTGGTTGTATGAGACCAGCGTGTACTCCTAACACAGCATGCCCGTGCGCAGGCAATGTGTGGACGACGTTGCCGACGACGCCTTCGTCGTCTTCGGAGCACAGTTGCGACAGTCGAATTGCTCGGTGTGCATCGACAGTGATAAGGTAGTCTTTGAGACAAGCAATCACACCGATCTGACTGCTGTCCGTGACCGAGATGGATGGAGACTCTATGCGCGGTGGAGGCGAGGGCGGGGGAGTCAGTCTTCCGATCATCTCCTTTATGTTGAAGGTTTTGAGCGCGCCTTGGCTACCGGCGATGTGAAGTCGTCCCTTGACGTCGACTGCTAGAGAACTGACAGGAAAGCCGGCATCGACTAGTCTCGAGAAGCGATGGTCAGATTCGGTATCGTCGATGAGACATATGTCTCCCTTGTCAGAAGCCACGATGGCCTTGTTCCGGGCTATAGCGACGACGCTTGTGAATGTGGACTCCTTCAAATTCTCCAGGATACAGTTTCTCCCTGGTAATGTCTTATGGGTCGAACCTGAGAGGAACGAAACATCGCTCTGGCGCGCCTTGCTAATGCGCATTGTGGCGTTGAGGTCATCGATCTTCCAGACCTTGACATGGCGGACACCGACAGTGACGAGCTTGTTTCCCATCCATGCCATCCGATTGATGTGGCTGACGCACTTGTTGCTAGCATGCAGCGTGGCAGCTCCGGTGCGGGAGTTGATGTGCCAGATGTATAAAAAGCCATCGTTGGCTGAGCCCAAGCTAGCCAGGAAGCGCGAGTCGGGGCTGAAGGCTACGCAGTTGACGCCGAAGGTGTGATCCGAGAGAGACGTGAGGGGTGTGTCCGAGGGGGCGTCTGATGAGGCAGAGAAGATGAGTACACGCGGTTTGTAGCCCGTCTGGAATAAGTTAGGATGATGCAGCATGAAGTCGACAAATGTCTCACCTCTCCGACGGCGAAGAATTTCCCGTCAGGACTGAAGCTGACACAGGTTGCCGCCTTGATCTTCTCTTTCATGTTCCAAGCTCTGTTGCTCGGCGAGTCTGCCCAGTCGGGCGCACTGGGCGACGGGAGTGGTGAGCCCCCGAAGCCGGCGTCGCGCAACGAGACGGCGGTGCGGTTGCGACTCTCATTCTGGGTCGGGGTGGATGGCCCGCCATAGATGGAAGCCGAGGGATTGATGGGGTTGGTGGTCGGGCGTGCGCGGTAGAAGCGCTGGGTGACACGGCCTTGGTCGTCTATGCACGCAATGACAGCGGCAGCACCCGCCGTGTAGCCAAAGGTGCTCGCCGACGGCAGGCTGTCAAAGGCATTGGCCGAATTGGTCGTGGTGCCGATGACCTGGCGCAAGGCAAGGCTGGCTTCGGCGCGTCCAGCCTTGACGGGCGAGCGCGGGGTCGTCTTGAAGAATGGGGAGGGAGAGGGATTGAGCTTGATGCCGGACCCGATGGCTGGGCTCATCATCCGGGGATTGGAGGGCGTAAGCGACATCGCGGCCTCCAGGTCAGTGGTGGAGGAGGTTTGCGATGGCTAGCAGACATCTCAGAAAGACGTCATGGCACTAGGCGCGCCTGCTTGCTGGGGGAGGGCGAGGTGAGGTGAATATCGCGTGGTTGGTAGGGATTCTCTGCTGCGACTGCGGAACGGGGATCCGGCCGCTATCAAAAAAGGGACGTGAGCGCGCAATTGAGCGGGGTGAGTGCGGTCTAGAGTGGTGACGGTGAAGGGGCAAAGAAGCTGCAGCTTGGGCGGTCGTGCATCAGACGGCGACGCGCATCTGAGGGTGAATTGGCTCGACGGGGCCTTTGTTTGGGCGGTCACGACACGCAAGGAAGCGACGATCTACGGCGCGAGGAACAGGCGGAGTGCAGCTCGCTAAACCCTATCACCATGCATCATCACAATCTCGTCCAGCCACACCAATTTCCCCAGGCACTCCCGTCGACTTCGCGACTTGCACAATCTGATGACATCGTGAGAAGCTCCGATATGCAGGGCTCATCGACGCAGGTGTCCGGCTGTTGTGCGACCCAGTCATGCATCTCCCAGGTAGCCCTGGCACGTCGGGCCAGTACCTGCACCGAGTGCTGCGACGTGGCAGAGTATACGTGTGTACACGCCGTGCAATAACAACTTCGCATAGCAACGAGCGAGGTTGAGAATATCCACATGCTCTAGTGTCCACCGCGGGCGGCGCAGTGGAGTATCGCGTTGGAAAGGAACAAGTGCAGCATTCGAAAAGTGGGGCGCACACATGTACAAGTCTCATCGGTGTACCACAAGACAATCTCAATTACGCTATCATGGCAAGAGCAGGACGGAACACTAAGTAGGAGCTTCGCGCGCCATTCAACTACATTAACATCCTTCAGAAATACGCCGACACACCAGCAATTTATTCCCCCAAGCCCGACCCGTACTCAACTTCGAGACTAACGCACCAGCTTCCACCCGTTCTTCTTCGCATCCAACCATCGAACGCTCAAGAGACAGAACAGCGAGATCGTCAACAAGGATCCGGTATAAACAATCACCCTGACAAAGTCTCTGCCTTGCAAGTCTACATCGGCGACTCTCGACACCAACGCGCCTGCTATCGGTGCGCTGATGACAAAACCGACTCCGCGTATACTGGTCATCATACCACTTTTGGGGTAGTACATCTCGGAGCCAAACAGCATCTTCTGTGCCGAGTTGATAACGACGTTGAAGACGCCGTTGCTCAGCCCGTGGCAGACGCTCATACAGATGTAGAGTCCCACGTTGCTCCCCATTGCAGCAGATAGCCAGAATGCCCACGTTGTGATGGCGTACACAGCAGTGGCAACAATGAGCATGTTCAGATGTCCAATCTTGTCTGACAGCCAGCCGGTGCATAGCCTACCTGGGATCCCTACTCCTGTGTTGATGGCCAAAAGGTATGACCCGTGGATGATGCCTGTTCCTATGGACTGAGCAAACTCAGGCCCGAACACCATGGGTATTGCCATCGTCAACGGATGTACCAGGTTTGCGACTGCGAGTGAAGCGAAAAGCGGATCCTTGAAGACATTCCAACCGACTATATCGGTACACCGCCTTTCGAACTTCCGCGGTGGGAGAGCGAGCGCACTAGAAATGGACAGGACTGCGAAGCTGAACATGGAGAGAATTCCCAATGTCCATCGGATACCGAGCGTCTCGAGTAACTTTGTCAGTGCGAAGACCCATACCGTGCTCCCTAGAGCCGCGCATGCAAACATGCTACCTTGTGCGAGGCCGCTCCGCTGTGGGAAGTACTCTGGTAATATGGGCCCAAGAAGATAGATGTGAATGCCGGTTCCAAGGCCGACCAGGAGTCCCTGACACGCAACAAGTGTTGCCAACTGCGTCCTAGTAAGTGACTGATGCGAGAGCAGTTGGGAAGCTTTACTCACCTTGTGGCTGGCTACTGCAGTTGCGAATCCGATCACAACAAACGCCGTGCCTAATCCGCACAAAGATCTAACGCGACCTCCTAATTGGGGAAGATGCGGGTAGTAGAACACTCCAAAGGCGGCGAAGAGCCCTCCATTCCCTAACGACCCTATCGCCGAGATCAACGGGCGTTTGGATAGCTCGGTCTGAAGGAGGACGCCTTCCGTGACAGCCGCTTCTCGTCCGTAGTGTGCTTGGAACACCCCAAAGGCCTGGTTGAGGCCAACTAACGTAAATGCCATCAGACAGGTCGAGCCCAGGATGCGGCATTGTTGTGTCCGTGTTATACGGTCACCAAAATTTTCGGCATCTGGATGGGTGGATATGCTGGATATGCTGGATTGTCTGGAGCGCGACTTCTCGCGGAGCGAAGGCTGGGCGCTGTCGACTGATGTCGAAGTAAGCTCACATCTACACAAAGAATCAAAGGTGCAAAACTTACCAGCTTGTTCAGCATCGGAGACGTTCATCTTTTCTATAGCGACAAAAGGTATCTGTGTATCAAGAGTACACAGGAGTGCGAATACCGTCCTACTATTTAAGAGCTATACGTGAGAAGTCTGTTTCCCATTCTCCTTGCCGTCGCGGAAGTTATGTAGGCAACACCATGCGCGAACTATGGTCCCGCTCATTGTTGAATTTTCGAGTCGCTACCGATCCGTGGTACCATCCAGTGTCATATCATATGAGGCACTCGCCCCATCCCGGGCATCTTTAGGCCATCCAACACATGCCAGTTGCAAACTGCGTTGGCACGCTCAGGTTTTGAGACCTCCGGTTGGTGAGATGCAGCGGAGTCAGGTCCCATTCAAAAACATCCAAGTGCATGGACAGACTATAGGTTCCGCATTAGACGGGCACGCAGTCCTGACCCACTTGCTCCATCACCATATCCAAGTTGTATGAACTGTTGAACAGTGTGGCAAAGCCGTTTCAGAATGCTGCATATAATCGAAGTTGGAGTCATTGTACTCTTCTAGGCCTGATGTCGACATGGAAGGCACTGAGTGGTCTACCAAACTTTGTGGTCAATAAGAAGCTTCCATTTTCGCGCACATATTCCTAGCTTGGCCAGAAGCTGGCCGCTCCCATGGTAGTTTGTATGGGACGACGCAGCATGCTGCCTCGTTTGCACATGCGAACTCGCTCATCTCGATGTCTCTTGATGCGCGCATGCCCGCTGCATCGCCTACGTCATAGCTTGCCCATCTATTTGTGTTGACATGCATTACCTTTGCATTAAGGACATTTTCGATCACTAACAAGGATCAACGGAGTAGAATTAGCATCGCAGTCGCAGCCAGATATATCGCGATGTGTTGTGGTAGAAGATGGACATAGGGCGGGAATAGCCGGCGCGTCTTGGGTGGACCCTTGCTTGGGGAATATCAAAGAAAGTTGACGATGGTTATCGCCATCAGACGCAGCGCCGCGCATTGCCTCCACCCCTCTGCAGCCTACGCCAACTCCTGTAGGCTCCCTTCCTCCCCACTTCTGGGAGCGCCTTCGACGTCCGTATGTACGTGATTCGGTCCGCACTGCGAGTGTCTACGAAACGACCTCCAGCGCGCTTTATTCGCGGCCGCCGCTACCCTTCGATACCACGATTACGAGCATTCCACACCACCCGCACCCTCGCCCAAGCCGCGAACCCACCGCCCGCGCCCAATAGCACACCCGCCGACCAAGATGACGTCAACAAGGCGGACCGAGAGAAGTCGGCAGCAGCAGCAGTGGAGGAGCCCGCCGACAGTGTGGTAGCATCAGAAGACCCAGAGGTTCTGGCACAGAAGCTGCAGCGATCGCGGGAAACCTCACGCAGGTACTCGGCTGCCTTGCGACGCCAGCAGCGGGGGAAGAAGACGCAAGGGCTGCCGCCTGTCCACATACCAGACTGGTTTCTGAAGAAGAGGGTACTACGCCGTCAACAATATCTCGGAGACCCACAAGTAGCCAATGCGCCCACGGTTCTCTCTGTCCAAGTCGCTCATGCTGAATCCGGAGAGCATGCCGCGTGCACCATACCGGCTCCACGCGACTCGGACGCTACCCAGATCCTGTCGCGACTAGTGCGTGGCCTGTGGAACAGGCGCCTGGACGACCACGAGAAGCTCAAGGTGGAGAAGTATTTGGAAGAGCAGATGGCACCGATCGATCAGGCGGAAACACACCAGTCACAAATCCGGAATGACGAAGCAGTCGCTAGCACCGAAGCAGGGCGCCCGGACGAAGTACCCATATCCACAATCACCGAAGACACTGCTTTCATGGACGCTTGGTCTAAGCTGAGCAAGATCCAGAACGACAAAGACATGGATCCGCGCCAGAAGATCGAGGCCATGAAGAAACAGAGTGCCAAATTGGGCATGGTTGCGAGGAAACGGGAAATCGCAAAGACTCGGCAGGCGGGCAACTCCAGACGCCTATCGTCCTTGGTCGTTGCTGAGATTCGAGCTACTATGGCTGCGTCTCTTTCCTCCTTACACCCAGCTGGCGACTCGTTCCCTGTTACAAAGACAAACCTTAGCCTTCACTCACCCATGGCTGAGCACGAGCCATTGATAGATGAATGCGTAACATCTACTGCTCTCGAAATGGGCGCTGACGTTGTTGTCCTAAAAGCTCAAGACCTTGCTCATCTTGCTGGAGATTACCTTGGCGAAGGAGCAGAGCCATCACCACGTTCGATACGCTCGCTGGGCTACGAAGCATACCGCATGAACACAGATCTCGGCGATCTCATGAGGGACATAGAAGAATCTATTGCTCAGGACGACTCCGAGTGGAATCAGTCTTCGTCGACGGATCAGCCTGACCCCAATTCAATGCGCCCTCGTGCTATACCTCTCTCCATAATATCTCTAAAAGGCTCTCTTTCACCTGCCTTGCGGGCTATGACGCAAAGCTTGAAGGGCATGGGCCTCTCATCAGGCGAATTCGGAACGTCTGATGCGACAGTCGATGAGTCTGGGCGCAGTCAGAACCCTGGGGACGTACAGCTTGAGGATCTGAAGTTAGCCGCTCTCTTAGACGCACTGATTGATGCGGGTGATCTGAAGCAAAGCCGTGGTTTTGTCGAAAATACACAACCTTCCAGCTCGTCTGAAGAGTCTCAAACATCGTCAAAAGCTCCTGCCTTTTTCGACTACTCTCTGAAGCAAGAAGGTGCCGAGCTTGAACTCAACTCTGCCTTGCCGTCTCCTGCAAAGGCAGACATCAGCATGACTGTTAAAGTTGGATCAGCTGCGAGAACGCTCAACGCCCCGACAAAGTCTAAAGTTATCTACATCCCGGACTTCAAACAACTAAATGCTACACACTATGGTGGCCGCATCGTTCAGAAGCTGGAAGAGCTTGTTCGCAAGCGCCGTAGTGCTGGAGAAAGCGTCATGATTGTGGGAAGCACTTGTTCACGCGACCTTACGCCTGAACTATCCGCCAGGTAAGGAGTACCCGCAACGTAAAAATGGCCAAGCTAACACACACCAGCGGAGTTCGTGCTCTCCAAAGCGAAGGCGAAAGCGGCTTCTTCAGGACCATTGTCGTCGCATCAGAGTCTGGCAGCAGTAGTACACCAAACTTCGACGAAGCTCTCGCATCGTTGGGTAGCAACTCTGCGTCGTCGATTGACCTTTCAACAGCAGAAAAAGATAAATTCCGACGCATCAATCTATGGCATATCCAAGACATGCTTCGCTCATTAGATCCAGCGGCGGCTGCGAATATCTCGAATTTGGAGCAAAGTCCTTTCCGCTTCGCCGAATGGGCGCCTATCTTCCATTCATCACAGTTCAGCCGTGTGTTGAGTTACGATGAGGTACACAGGGTGGCATTGACAGCTCTCGGCCTGCTTATCACACGCCCAGCAAGCGAGGCAGTAACCTCTGAAGACGCACCGGCGCAAGTAAGCTGGGCACATGTTGCGCTTGCTATGGGCCTGCTAAAGTCGAGTGACACAACTAAATACACCTCTTTCGAGAAGGCTGCGGCATCGATCCCGAAACGCTCCAAAAACGCTTTTGGTAACCAGGAAGGAGGGTTTGAGGCAGACCTGGGCCGGAAACGTCCAGACGAGAAGAGCATGCAGCGTCAACGAAATTTGCAACGCATAGCATCTACAGCCAACAAGCACGAAAAGCGGCTCATGCCCGGTATCGCAGACCCGGATCAGATCAAAACGACCTTTGACCAAGTACATGTGCCCACCGAGACGGTAGATTCGATACGAACCATTACCTCATTATCACTACTACGTCCTGAGGCGTTTAGCTATGGTATTCTAGCGACGGAGAAGATATCTGGCGCCTTATTATACGGACCTCCAGGCACAGGAAAAACGCTTCTAGCCAAGGCCGTAGCGAAGGAGAGTGGCAGTACGGTACTCGAAGTTTCCGGCAGCCAAATCATGGACAAATATGTGGGCGAGGGCGAGAAGAATGTGGCAGCCATATTCTCCCTCGCACGGAAGTTATCACCATGCATCGTCTTCCTCGACGAAGCAGATGCTGTCTTTGCATCCCGAGACGCAATGCGCGAACGCACGTCGCATCGCGACATACTCAACCAATTCTTGAAAGAGTGGGACGGCCTCAATGACCTTTCCGTGTTTGTCATGGTAGCTACAAACCGACCTTTCGATTTGGACGACGCTGTCATTCGCCGATTACCCAGACGATTGTTGGTAGAT